GTTTGTGTGTGTGAGTGTGTGTGTGTGTGTGTGTCTCAGACATCAGCAGTCACGCTCCGCTTGAGTCAGACAGGCTGTGTTTGAGGAACACTTTACTCAATAAGAGGCAAATGGACTGAAACACTGCACACATGGATTCCTGCACACTGTCTAATCATGCATTAGTCTCTTCACCCTGATGTGACCGTTCACACACACGCACACGCGCACACACACACACACACGCACGCACACACTCACACGCACACTCTCTCTCACACACACACTCTCACATACACACACACACACACACACACTCTCACACACACTCTCACACTCACACAAACACACTCTCACACACTCTCTCACACACACGAGAGAGAGAGAGAGCGAGAAAGAGAAAGAGAATATCTCACAACAGCATCATATTTACACACACACACACACACACTCTCTCTCTCTCTCTCTCTCTCTCTCTCTCACACACACACACACACACACCTCTATATAACCACTATCACACATTGTCATTACTTGGAATAACATTAGTTCCATATAGTATGCAATAGTAGTATGTAGTATGCAATATATCCCACAATGCAATGCACTTCACTTGACCTTCCATTTCCAGAGTGATGAATAAACCACAAGTAACAGTTTTAATCATTTACACTCATAATTTAATCCAAAATGTAAAATTTTATAATAAAAATGTTAATAACTTTTATTTCCAAGATTATAACCCTAACAGGCTTTATGATTTTCAATATCGCCACATAATGAATTAATGAATTAATAACAAATTACACAACTACTGTAAGTCCAGTCAACCTTACTGCACACATACAGTACACTCACATTTAACACTATGTACTGTATAGCAAACCTCAACGGCTTGATTGTTTATATCGTCACAACATGTAAATATATTATCATTCAGCTCGAATCTGCTAAATGTGACTATAAGGTATGAAGATATTAAGATATTTAATAAATAGTAAACTATTCCACTCCTTGACTGTACTGCTGATTATTGATATTTGTTGAACTCATTGATTTCTTGGGTTCACATGTTTTCTTACGGATCAGCTCACCTGAGCAGTTTCTGAAAGAGCAAACCTCTTCGATCGCTTGGCCTTCAGTCTTTCTGCATGGCTCTGTTCATCTCGTTAGACACAGTTACTAATGGATGACAGAACTACAGATTCACAAGTTCAACACTAAGTGAGATGCCCTAAACATTCAGCTGATGTGCGTCATATTCAGACACTGCATTAAGTGTGAATCTCCTCTCGAATGGAACTGCATCAGCGTTCAGATGTTTGCTGTTTCATGGCTGGTCGTAGTGTTGTCTAAAGCATTATTTTTACTGTAATGTCTGCAGTCGGTGTCATTCTCATGTGCTGTGATGTGGATCTGGATACTCTTATAAAAAGAAGTAGACTTAGCACACTTTTATAAAGGGCTTATTGTAAAAAATAATGCACTTTAAAAATATACTTGTGTAATATTTTTAGACATTTAATTAATAAAATTATTACAGTTTAAATGTATATATAAAAGCAATTAGTTGAATAGTTATTTGTTTGTTTGTTAATTTGTTGCTTTTGTGGAAATCATGAAACGTTACCATTCAAAAGTCTGGGGTAAGAAAAATGTTCACTTTTATGCAACATTTCTATTGCAAATAAATGCTGTTCTTTTTACATTTTAAAGTAACTAATTTCTTGATGTGACGACTGGCGTTATGATGCTGAAAATACAGCTTTGATCACAGGAATAAATTACATTTGAACAGATATTCACTTAGAAAACAGCTAGTTTAAATTTCAATAATATTTCACAACATTACTGTTTTTACTGTATTAAATGCAGCCTTAGTGAGCAGAAGAGGCTTCTTTCAAAAACATTAAAAAT